TCATGATGATGATCATGATGATGATCATCTGATGATGATCATGCGACTGATGATGACCATGATGATGCTGACGCTCACGATGATGATGTTGAGGAGGAGGAGGAGGAGGAGGAGGAGGAGGAAGAGGAGGAGGGCGATGATGCCAATGGTGAAGACAATGCTGATCATGATCATGATGGCCATGATGACGAGGATGAGGGGGATGAGGAAGGCCACGGGGAAATGTGCAGGAAACGAAACAAGATGATGTGAGTGGACACGCGACTGCCTGTATTGGGCGGGAATGCGACCATTGCACTCACTTGCCATGTGCTTCCAGCGTGTTTGCGTGCTAGATGGCGCATGCCCTCGCTTCAACGTGTTGTTTGTGCGCTTTGATGGCGTGTGATGAGCTTTGACTTTCTTCAGTGGAGGTGGTGGTGAGATGTGTGGCGTCTTGTTGTGGCTTGTCCTTTGCTGTGTCCTTCTGTTGCGTCTCTGCTTTCTTGCTGGTTTCTTGCATTTACTTCAACCAATCGCTCGTTGTAACGTGGCCTTTCCTCTTGCTTTCATCTGTGCAACCTCTAAGCTGTTTATCCGTGCGTATCTGCCCTCGCTTCATCTCCCCGTTTCAAGACTTTGTGCGACTTTCAGCGCAACTAAGCAAGCATATGCGTGCGTTGTTGTTGTTGTTGTTGTTGTTGTTGTTGTTGTTGTTGTTGTTGTTGTTGTTGTTGTTGTTTGTTGTTGTTTGTTGTTGTTTGTTGTTGTCTAATTGTTGTTGGTACTTGGAGCACAAAGAACATGCCAGGTTGAACGAACGTCAGCAATTATAATCTCGCAGTCAGCAAAAGCGAAGGAGCACGGTGGCGGCGGTGATTTTGTCTGCTGCTGCCCACAAACGGAGGTGCGGAGCACCGCAGGGCTGGTTGAATGATCACGCAGCCCCATACAAGCGTGCAATCACACGCGCGAGTGTTGGCCCAATCTTCCGCGTTGTGCCCTGACGCGTGGTGAACTCCATCGCAGCTAGCGTCTTCTGCAGCTCCTCTGTCATGTATTCAGGCGCAAGCACATACATGTATGTATGAACGTGTGTGTATGCATTTGTGCGCATATGTGTGCGCGTGTGTGTGTCGTGAGTACGGATGGGGTTGTTGACAGGCAAACTGCGATACGCAAACAATTTCGTTGTCAAGCACGTCACACCATACACACCCGAGCGCACAAGACGTTCTTTCACGCACCAAGACCCATGCACACGTACGCTCATGCGCTGCTTTGGTGATGGCTGCCATTGTTGGATAGCGGGACACAATGGCCACGGCCTTTTCTTGCGTCAGGCCAGAGATGTGCATCAGCTGTGTCATGAGCATCTGCGACGCCGTCATCTCCTGGCAACGGGCAGAAAACAAAACCAGGCGGGAAAAGGAAGGTACGCGTGTTCATGTGCACGTACGTGTGTTCGTGTGTATGTATGTGTGTGAGTGTGCGCATGTGTGCGCATGTGTGCGTGCGTGCGTGTGATTGCAGCAGCCAACCGAGAGAATTGTATGTGTATGTGTTGGGTGATTTCCTTGGACCGGAGTATGTTATGAGATATGAGATTGCAGCAGGAGAAACATTTCTACAGCGACTGCTTCAGCTTGCATACCGGAGACTTGACGTTGCTCTCGTTGAATTCGCCAAACTCATCACCAACATGTGCTGATGGGAAGTTCTTTAGCAGTGCTCTCGCTCCCCGGCCTGAAAAAACATACATGCACATGCACATGGAGTAAGATCTCTTTGAATCAACGACAGGGGGGGGGGGGGGAGAAAGGGTGTGTGCGAATGTATGTATGTATGTATGCATGTATGTATGTATGTATGTATGTATGCATGTATGTATGTATGTATGTATGTATGTATGTATGTATGTATGTATGTATGTATGTATGTATGTATGTATGTATGTATGTATGTATGTATGTATGCATGCGTGTGTGTATGTGCAACGTGGCGTGCCAGCCTCACCTCTGGCAATGGCCGGTCGCTGCTGCATGGACTGCTCGAGAAAGCGCGTCACAAGCGTCAGGTACGCCACAGTTGCATTCAGGCTGGCTGTCTCCTTAACGAAGAAGCCTTGGCAGTAGGCGTTGTCCACGGCTTGGCGCAGCGTCGCGGCCGGTAGTCGCGCAGAGTCGCCCCGCCCTGCCGACAGATACAACATGGTCGTGGTGTGTGTTTGGGATGAGGCAGATGGGTCGGTTTCGTGTGACGCCAGAGACAGTGGAGGGATCAAGTGCCAGCCAACGACACGGTTGCAACTTGCTGACACAACAATGAACCAAGCACATGCACAGCGCGCGCACACAGGGACGCGGACGCGGACACGGACACGGACACACACAAACACAAACACAGACACACACAAACACAGACACACACACACACACTCAAACACACGCACACACATACACACACACACACGCACACACTCAAACACACGCACACACATACACACACACACACGCACACACACGCAACCGCACACAGCAGCAGCAGCACCCAGGCGTACCGTAGTGCTCAATGAGGTAAATTGGGTGCTTTGCAGTGCAGGCGGCGAGACGGCGCTTCTGCTCGCTGAAGCGCCCGTCCATGATGCTTGATGCAAGGTCGTCGATGCGTTTGCGTTCAACCACGTAATCAAGCGCAATCTCCCGCCTGGCAAACAGCAGTGAGCGGCAGCGCACGACGCGTAAGCGAACGGTGATTACACTTTTAGCTCGGCAGATGCAGGTATCAGCAAACAGAGACGGGGAAAAAAGGACAGTAGTCGGGCAGGCCAGTGGGGCACATGTGAAGGGAGGACCAACTAAGCACGCATTCTCAACATTGCAATCATACAGCGACAAAAGCAGCAGCAACAATGTAAATGTGCCTACATGCATGATCACATGGAGGAATGCAGCTGCACCTTGGCGGCGGGTGCAGTTGTCCCAGGACAGGAGACGTTCGTTCGCGCGCAATCCAGATGAAGTCGCCGACGGAGAGCTTGCGCACCTCGCACGCAACACCCAGGTCAGACAGCCGTTTCTGCCAGTGACCAAAGAGCAGGTGCGTTTCATGCAAGCACATGTAAGCATTTGTTAGCAATTGTAAGCATGGCACATCATGACAGCACATGCACAGCCTTGCTCATCACTTAGCAAGTTTGAGAGTGATCCACATTCCTCATTGCACACGCTGACGCGGTCCTGCACATGCGCATGCATCACATCGTCCCGCTTTGCACCTGTATGATGCCCTTGTCTCGACGTGAGCCCGTGTGTTCCATCACGTCCACCAGCAGCACAATGTCAAATGCGCCAGGCTGCAGCACAAAGGCGCTTGCCGTTGTTCGCCCAGAGGCTGTTGGCGAATCCACGTCCCCCAGCGCCGCGGCCACTGATGTTGTTGTTGGCGACGACGATGATGCGGTGACGGTTCTCAATCTCGTGTTGTTGCGAAGCTGTACGACACGAGAAATGGTGGCATGCGGCGTGCTTGTTGAATGGATGGCCTCCATTGGGGCAGGTGTACGTGTCACGCCATCATCGTCAGTGGTACCATCATCACCACCAGGGTTGTCATGATTGCCATGGACATGATCACTCTCAAGTTCATGCACATCATCACGGTCGTGATCGTCATCCTCATCGCTGCTGCTGACAATACGCCGTCGACGGTTCAAAGCCACTGTTTTGGTGGACGCAGCGGCTGTCTTCGCTGCGCTCTTGTACTTGCTGCGTGTGCGACTGCGCTGTGGAAGTGTCGGCGATGCCTCCGCACAAATGCCGGCGCGGCGGCGAATTCGCGCAGACAGCGACAGCTGCTCATACCTTTACGCATGGAAGGATGATGTGCGCAGAGCACAAGCAGCGGCAGTGTGCATATGAGTGAGACTTTCTGCTGCGACGGGCAATTGTGACGAGCATATCATATGCCAGGTGTGCAGCACATAGACGCACACACACACAGAGGTACATACACACACAGAGGTACATACACACACACAGAGGAGTACACACACACACACACACACACACACACACACACACACACACACACACACACACACACACACACGTAGGGGAGCACGCAGATACAGAGGTGCACGCAACCCCCCCCCCAACACACGCACACAAGTATACACACTGACCGTTTGGTGCTGGAAGCAGGAGTTGCGTGCGATGCAAACGCCGAGAGGTTGTCTGCATCCAGGGGTGAAAAAGGACTGAACATTGGACCAGCACCATCATCACAAAGGCTGAGCTGCAGAGGCGTGTGGGGCAGGGTTGTGTCTGCGGTGGTGTCATTGGGCATGTCATCATGATTCGTGTCAGCACCACGGGGAACACCGGAGTTTTCGCCATGACCATCATCGTCGGTGAACCAGTCGCAGCTGTTGTCGTCGTGGAGCGTGTCATTATTCGTGCTGTCTGCAATGCCACCGCTCCTGCTGCCACCGTCGTCCTTTCCATCTTCGAGGCACGAGCGTTTGCTGTTATTGTCGCGTTTACCGCGACCCATCACACCATCCTCGGTTTGATCATCATCATCACCATCATCACCATCATTGTCATGATCACTATCGTCACTATCATCAGCATGATGATCATCATAATCGTCATCAATCAGCATGTGTATGGGGCTGCTTACGTCTGCTCCCGCATCCCTCGCGTCGTTCAACTTGTGCAGAGCGTGCCGTGAAGGCGATGCTGCTGCGAACGCATGCGTGGCTGCTGCTGTCAGTGCTGCTCGTTGCGGTGTGCTGTATGACACCGCCACCGGCGTTGCGTTGCCTTTCAATTCTTGCTGTCGAGCTCTCCCTTCCCTCTTTTTGCGGGCGCGCAGGCGCTGCAGTCTGTAGTTGCTTGTTTGTGCTGCAGCATGAGTTGTGCCATACACAAGACAGGACAAAACAAGACAGGCACACAGACTTTCGGGAAGGCAAGTAAAACGCCAAGTACCCAAGCCAGTCACGACGAAGACGGCGACAGACACACAGGCACAAAAGTTCACAAACAGACCACACACACACACACACACACACACACACACACACACACACACACACACACACACACACACACACACACACAGACACGCTGACCGTGGGGAACGGCGAGTGGGGATGGGGCGGCGTATGTGTGATGAACGCTTGCGGCCTTGGTGGATAAACCGCTCACAGGGCGCACAAAGCACTTCATCGCACTCCTTGCACTGATGTGTGTGTACGTTGGGGGTTCACATGCAAGCAAATTATGGCAGAAAAAGGTGAGCTTGAGCTGGCGCACACTCAGGCGGCATCGCTTTCCACTGCTACACAGAGCAGTTTAACCGCTGTCCTGCACACACACACACACACACACACACACACACACACACACACACACACACACACACACACACACAGACACACCACAACGCACGTGCACTGTGGGGACGGAAGAGTCGCAGTTTTCACAAAGGGTCGCGGGCCGGCGTGGTGGTGTGCAGAGGTGAGAGGGTGCAGTGGTGGGGGCTGCTGCACGCGTGGGGGCTGCTGGCCCATTCCCCACGTGAGCTGATGCGCTCTGGTGCTGTTGCTGAGTGCTGCGGACGTGTTGTCGACCAGCCCACGAAAATGCTGGTACGGCCACGGAATGTGAACCTGGGGCAGCTGCATTGTCATGGTGCACATATGCTGCTGGCTGATGGCCCGTTGGTTGCCTTGTGGCCGCCGCTCCACTGGTGGATGGCTGCGTCACCATGACAGTGCCATCGTTGCTGTCGCTGTCAGCGCTGTATTCGCTGTGCACCTGCAGCGTGTGCGGTACACCTGTTGATGTTTGAGCCGATGACAACGAGGACGATGATGTGGCTGAAGATGTTGTTGATGATGACATTGAAGGTGACGTTGTAGGTGACATGTCTGTGGAGGTCTCAATGTCATACAGGCGCTGCGCCAGCTGCTGGCCTTCGGATGTGAGCGAGTACTTGGCGGGGTTGCTGCACTTTGAGATGAGCTGGCGCTTGATGAGGGTGGCCATGCTGTTCCACGCCGTGTATCGCGAGCCGTTGTCACAAATAGTGAACGATGTGGCGCAGAAGGGCTGCGCGAGCGGGATGAGCTCGCGCTTGGTGACGTAGCCGAGGAACTCTGGGTTCAGTGACGCCTTGTGCAGTGCAACGAGGAGGGCGTAGGCGCCGGAGTTCTTCCGGGGCACGTAAGGACGTGTTGTCTTTGTCCTCGTTTTTTTGGCTGCGACCTTTGTCGTCGCTGTTGCCTCGTTGTCTTGTGCACATGCGTTGCTGTCAATCTGCGACAGCGCGGCCCGCTGTGTTCCTTTGGCGCTTGTGTTCTTGCCTTTCTTCTTCTTGCTGGCCGTGGCTGTTTTCACTCTCTTGCTCACTTGAGACGGGAGCAGGTCATCGTCAAAGTCGTCGTCATCGTCATCATCGTCATCATCGTCGTCACCACCGGCATCGGTGTCGTGCTCTGCAAAGTTGGGTATGGGCAGGCCTTCTTCTCGGCAATGGGCCAGAAGTTTCTTGTGCAGGATCTTGACGGTGCCTTCGCCAATGTAGGGGAGCTTGGCGGCTTGGAACGGCGTGTACAAAGGGGCGCTGTGTGCTCGCAGGCTCTTGACTGCTCGTCCGTACACGTGTCGGAGTCTGCTGTTGCGTGCCTGCGCCGATGCTTGCAGTTCCTTCACCCACCCGATAAACTCTTTCTTCCAACACCGCACAGCGGCAGTGCCGTTGTTTGTCATGTGTTCTGCGTGTGATCTGTTTGTGTTCTGTGTGTGTGTGTGTGTGTGCGTTCTGTGTGTGTGTGTGTGTGTGTGTGTGTGTGTGTGTGTGTGTGTGTGTGTGTGTGTGTGTGTGTGTGTGTGTGTGTGTGATGATTGGTGCTGCTGAAGCTCATCGACGGTTCAAACGGTTCGCGGACAGTCGAGTATGGATTGCCAATTGCAATTCACCAACGTACAATTTGCAACGCATCACCGTTTGTCTCATCTTATCCACCACCACCAGCAGTGCGCACTTATTTCAGCTGTGAACGTGCGCCTCTGCCTCAAAACAGCCAAACCGGTCACTTTCCCCCATATCCACACCTCCACTTCTTGTTCTCCTTTGTCGTCGTCTGAGCGAGACACACGCAACAAGCACACGCACCAGTCAGCCATGAGCCGTCGTCGCATCTACGTGGGCAACCTGCCTTACGACATTCGCGAGCGCGAGATTGACGACTTGTTCTACAAGTTTGGGCGCATTGAGGAGATCACCATCAAGGGGCCCTACGCCTTTGTCTCCTTTGAGGATTCCAGGGACGCCGAGGACGCTGTCCGCCGCAGGGATGGCTACGAGTTTGGCGGTGGCCGCCTCAGGTAATGCCGTGTTCCACTGTGTGGTGGTCTTGGAAGTGAGAGCAAATGCCACACAACAGCATGTGGGATTGGTTGGTTTGAAGCTGAGAGATTGGAAGATTGGGGAGGGAAACAAGAGCGACTGAGCCCACGACATACTCGCTCAGTGACATTGTGTGTGTGTGTGTGTCGAGTATTGCGCAGTGTTGTGCTGTGCGCGTCAAGCCAAGCAACCCCCCCTCCCCACTTCAACCAAAGTGAAGGGTTGGTGAGCTGGTGTTGTTGTTGTTGGGCTTACCGCTGAAGCGAGTGCACGCTCCACAACTACGACCACAATTGCATGCGTGCGCGCGTGCGTGGTCGTTCTGTGGCGGCTGTCATTTCTCTCTTTGCTTATGGCTTGCTTGTGACTTGCTTGTTCTGTGCGGCGTGACTAGTTTCCCGGTTGCCTCTTGGAGTGGGTGCTCGGGATAACTGGCTCGGGGAGGATTGAAGCACCATTTTGGCGTTGCGCGTGCACCTGTGGGGTTTCTGGAGCGAGCGGGAGGATGGGACCTTCTCTTTCTCTCTCTCAAGAAGGGTGGACGGGCCGGGCAACCAACCACCAGGGCTTTCCTGTTTCGGGCTTTCCCTCGCTGCAACCGAAGGAACTTCTTGGCCGTCCCCTTCTTCAGTCCTCTTTCTTTTCACTTGCACGCCCCCCCCCCCTTTTTGTTTGGTGGGGCAAGTGCTGTCTGTTTGTGGCTCTGTTCCTTCCCCACAACGTCTTCAACACTCTCCTGTCCTTCTTCATCTCTTGCCTCCAATCGCCCAATTCCCCCATCCTTCTCCTTTTGTTCTCCCTTCCTTCTATCATCCTTGTCTCTTCCTTCCTCGAGCTGTTCCCCTTTGCCCTTTCCTTGCGCTGTCCACCGCCGCTGCTTCACTGGCCGGCTCGCTCGCTCGCTAGAGGAGGAGGAGGAGGAAGGAAGGAAGGAAGGAAGGAAGGACGGAGACGAACGGCCACAATCATCTCTGCCCCCACCCCCTCCCACCCACACGCACTCACACCCTCACCAACAGCAAGTCCGTGTTGGGATTGGCTGACCATTGTGCGTTGTACTGTCATTTTGTGTTTGTCCTGGTTGTGGTTTGTGTCCTCACGCTTGCCTATTCCGCCAGCACCATCTCACCCACGCGCACTTGCACCACTGCCTCTATCTCGCCCGTTGCTTTATTCCTCTCTCTCTCTCTCTCTCTCTCTCTCTCTCTCTCTCTCTCTCTCTCTCTCTCTCTCTCTCTGTCGCTCCTCCCGTGTGTGCGACTGCATCCGCACTGTGCACATGTAGGGTTGAGTTTGCCAACGGCGGCCGCCGCGAGCGTGGTGCCCGCGCCTTCAACGGCCAGCACTCGGAATTCCGCCTGCGCGTGAGCAACCTCCCGCGCACGGCCAGCTGGCAGGACGTCAAGGACTTCTGCCGCGAGGCCGGCGAGGTGCTGTTTGCGGAGGTGTTCCATGACGGGACGGGCCTTGTGGAGTTCCGCCGTGAGGACGACATGGAGTGGGCCCTGCGCAACCTCAACGAGCGCAAGCTCCGCTCCCACCTCGGCGACAGCGACATTGTCACGCTTGTCGAGGACCGTGGTGAGGGCGGCCCGCCACCCCCACGCGACGACCGCTCCCCACGCCGCCGCTCCCTGTCTCCTCGTCCCCGCTCCCCCTCCCCGCGCCGTCGCTCCCCTTCGCCGCGCCGCCGTTCCCCCTCCCCGCGCCGTCGCTCGCCCTCTCCCCGGCGCCGCTCCCCCTCCCCTCGCCCCCGCTCTCCGTCTCCACGGCGCGACGACGACGACCGCCGCCGCTCCCGCTCACCCTCTCCACGCAGGGACGACGCGCCCGAGCCCCGCCAGGACTAGGCAGCTTGCCTTGGCGTGGCGTGGGGGCCTCTGGCATGAGGCAGCACCATCACAGGTGCTGCTGCATCTGCTTGGTGCCACACCCCGAGCGTTGACGTACGCACCCTCCATCCCCTCTCCTCATCATGCGCTATTGGTTGTGTCACTGTTGGTGCCGTCGTGGTTTTGTCGTCATTGTTGCTGTGGTGCGTTCCCCGCTCCGGCCAACCACTCCACCACATGTTGATGTTCTTGTTCTTCCTTTGTTTAGCATTTCGTGTGCACACAACAGCCCAGTTGTGTAACGTGTAGGCCCCTCGTCTGATGAGTGTCCCTGTTTGTGTGCTGCGTACCTACCTGCTTGCAAGAGTTGCTCTGTGCAGTGCGTTGTTTTGTTGTTTCATGTGATGTGGCACACGCGCAACGCCGGATTTCTCCATTGAATTGAACCATACTCAACCCAGCATGTGGTGCGATGTGAAGGGACTTGGCGGAGGTCGAAGGAGAGCGATCAGAGAGGGCAGACATGAACGGGCAAAGGACGAACAAGAAGAAGAAGCGAAGCAAACGAAGCAAGGGGGTACACGTGTAAGAGGAACTGAGTGGGTGGTGTTTGGGTTGTGCTCATGCGCGTGTGGACGTGCGTGTGCGCCGCCAGTTGCGCTGGATGACGCGTGCTGCCTCGTCCCTCTTCTTGAGGTGCTTTCGCGTCCGGTACCCGCGGTACTGCGCTTGGATCTGGTGATGCGATGCGTGCGAAACAAGACGTGCGC